CGGGCTGACGGGGAGACGCTGCCCAGCGCCCTGGATAAGGAAGATGCGCGCTCGGCTCCCAGCACCCCGAGCACCCCGTCCGTCTGCTCCCCGCCTTCCTCCTCCTCCTCCTCGTCCTCCATCCCCTCCGCTGGCAAGAACGTCTGCTCCAGCTGCGGCCTGGAGATCCTGGACCGGTACCTCCTCAAGGTGAGCGCCGGGCGGGGCGGCGTGGGCCGAGGGGACTCCCCGGGAGGAGGGGTGGGGGGTCGGTGCCTGGCCCCGAGCCCAGCACCCCGTCCGTCTGCTCCCCGCCTTCCTCCTCCTCCTCCTCGTCCTCCATCCCCTCCGCTGGCAAGAACGTCTGCTCCAGCTGCGGCCTGGAGATCCTGGACCGGTACCTCCTCAAGGTGAGCGCCGGGCGGGGCGGCGTGGGCCGAGGGGACTCCCCGGGAGGAGGGGTGGGGGGTCGGTGCCTGGCCCCGAGCCCAGCTCACCGAGGCCCCTTCTCTGTCCCAGGTGAACAACCTGATCTGGCACGTGCGCTGCCTGGAGTGCTCGGTCTGCCGCACCTCCCTGCGCCAGCAGAACAGCTGCTACATCAAGAACAAGGAGATCTTCTGTAAAATGGATTATTTCAGGTAGGAGCCCGGCTGGCTGGGGGGCCCTCCCGGGCCAGCTCGGAACCTGGGGAGCGTGCGCCTTTCCAGGGCAGATTCGGTTTGCAGACTCGCAGTGTAAACGGGGCCCGGTGCGCTGGGTTTTTCCGGACTAGCACAGGGCCCGCTCCAAGATTTATGTCCCTTTCCCTGGAAGGAGCTAGGCTCCTGGCACCAGGGCTGGGGGGAGAATGAGGCTTTGCCCCCCGTGTGAGCCTAGAGGCGTAGGGTGCGCGGCGGCAGGGTCTCTAGCGCAGGAGCCTTCGTTGTAAGCGGGAGGCGCGGCCGATTGTGATCTCAGTGCTCCTACCTGAGTCAATCCGGAGTGACTCCGGATTCCCCTTGGTGTGAACGGGCGAGCTAGGCTCCTGGCACCAGGGCTGGGGGGAGAATGAGGCTTTGCCCCCCGTGTGAGCCTAGAGGCGTAGGGTGCGCGGCGGCAGGGTCTCTAGCGCAGGAGCCTTCGTTGTAAGCGGGAGGCGCGGCCGATTGTGATCTCAGTGCTCCTACCTGAGTCAATCCGGAGTGACTCCGGATTCCCCTTGGTGTGAACGGGCTCTCCTCGGCCCTTTAGCTGCAGGTCTGGGCACCGGGCCTGCAGCTGGGACACTTCCTTTCCGCTGCCACGGCCCGGCCCGGC